GCTAAGTCTCCCAGCTACACACAGAGCACATGGGTATTTGCACAGAGCTGTAGCTATGAGTGCACAAATGGCTGGTGACCTTTATCCATTAAAGGCACTGCACCCAGTCAGAGTTCCTGAACTGAAGATGGCACACCCTCCAGGGTATTTAATAGAAATGCGGACTGCTGAGCCCAACCCAGCCCTAGTGAGGAAAATATACACGTAAGTGAGAGAAACTTGCTAATCAAGGGGAATCTTACTGCCTGAAGTTTTTCAGATCCTATATCTTGGAGATTTAGTATACTACTTCAGCATATTTTCTGTACAGCTAGCATCACCTAAAAACTTGAGAGAAATGCAAATTCTCATTCCTAGAAACCAAGTAAGAGACCCAACACCAGGTTCAACAATCTTGGGCTCAACAAGTCCTCCAGGGGACCCTGATGCCCACTCAACTGTGCAGCTACTGCTATGGGCAGTCCACCAGCACTGGTGACATGGAGACTTCATTTAGTACTTTACACCAGCGCTCTGGAAGAGGCAACAGCAAAGCGTAGTCCTGGCTCCTCATCAGGGCCCTCTTCTCCAAGCTGGTTGAGATTCACATTCCTATGTTCTGCCACAACCAAGCTTTCAACAGTGGAGAACACAGAAATCCTTCAAAGCCCACTGTCCCAGGTCACTGAGTCACACAAGATATAATATAAAAGTTATAATTTCCCATAAACTCTAAAAGGATGTGTGTTCCCATTAGGCCTGGGCTAATGAGTGCTCTAAATGAAAGGAAGTATGATTATTTCCAGAGCTACTTCAAGCCTTCATCCTCTGCCCAGAAGTGATGCTGGGAGGAGGGAAATTCATTTAAGTTAATAGTGCCTGAAGCACTTCACAAAGCAGGTCCCAGATGTAAACCCCACTAAGTATAAATAATAATGCTAATAATATCTCATTCATCTTGTCTTTATCTCTGGGCCCGGGAGGATCAAACCTGATAGACACAGCTTCAAAGGCCTTTCCCATCCTGGATCTGGGAATGAGTGTGTTCCAACAAGTCTCTCCAACCTCCTTTCCCGCATTCCCAGCAGTTAGAGATTCCAACTCATCTGAAGTGGTATCTGGGCCTTCCAGCCTATGATTGCCTTTAATAAGCTTTTAGTGGCACAAACTCCAACAGCATCATCAGCAAAGATACCTGCTTTCAAGAGCCAAGTGTTTTGTTGCTTCATCGTCCTCCATTCCCAGAAGTGCTTAGAAGACTTTCATAAAGTAAATCAAATCTTTTACTTGTCAAGACAGCTTTAAAAATAAGCGGAGGCCTCGGACAGCGTGGCAGTGAGCAAGACTTCTAAAGCAGAGACTGCAGTTACTCTGGGGAACTGGCAAGCCTCCATTGTCAGTGGCAAAGAGGGAAGAATCTGCAACCTGGAGGGTGGATTCCCTGAGGCTTACACTAGCTCCGGCCAGAGACTACATAGCTGCAAAATAAGCTCTAAATTAGACTCGTAGGAAAGTAGATACAATGTTAGGTAGTATACCATCGGGCCACAGACAGAAGTCTGGGCAATGCCAATCAGCCCTGTGGATTTGGTCCAGCTGCTTGACGATAGGACATCTGGTGTCAGAGTAGAGCAGAAGAGCTAGACAGGACCCTGCTCTGAGCTGGTGGAGGAAGTGAGACATAAACCCCAGGATGAATCACAAGCCCACAGGGGAGAAGGTAGGCAAGGCCCAGGTTCTCTTCCACCCAAACCTCTATCAAGTGGGGGGTTTCCACTCAAGAATGTTCAGCCCCTCTCCGTCCAGACTAACCAGAAGAGGCTTAATAAAAATGTCTAGGAAGAGAAGGCCCAAGAAATGTTGGTTTAAGGACACCTCGATTCCATAGATTGTTCTAAAGCTTAGAATATGTAATCAAGAGCCATTTGGAGAAAAAGGCAACGTGAAGAGAGGTAAGGTATGGAGTGGCATCCACATCATCAAAATACTGCAATTTGCTCATCCCCATCCTTTTCCATCTACATGCCCCAACTGGCTGCACACTCAATCACCTCCATTAGTGGTTCTCAAGCCTCCTTGGCTTCAGTCCTTTAATACAGTTCTTCATGTTGTGGTGACCCCCAATCATAAAATTATTTTCATTGCTACTTCAGAACTGTAATTTTGCTATTGTTGTGAACTGTAATGTAAATGTCTGTGTTTTCTGATATGCACACAAGTCATGAGCAACCCCTGTGAAAGGATTGTTCAAGCACCCCCTCCACACCCAGGGATTGAGGACTTCCAATCTAGACAGCTTTACAATTCTCAGTTCCTGCCCCCCTGAACACAACCACATCAGAATGTCTAGGAATGCCCACACATTGCTGATCTTCAAAGCTCCCCGTGACTTTGGTATCTGTCCTTGAATGGAACCATGGCTGCTTTAATTCTTCATGGGTAAAACTCAAACCAGTGGCAGCGGCCGCGGCAGCATGTCCCCTGGCCCTGGATAGAAATTCAAACTCCCTGGCCTGCCTGGCGGTGAGGTGAGTTTGAAAAGTTCAAGTTTTGGTTAGAGAGTGGTTGGTTATTAGTTAGTTTGTTTTGGTTTTGTTTGTTTTCTTCAGACAGAATCTCTTGTAGCCCTAGCTCTCCTGAAACTCAATATGCAGCTAAGGATGACCTCAAATTTCTCTTTCCTCAGTTTCCCAAGTGGTGAGGCTGCTAAGAAGCAGCCTCCATACCCTTGGACTCACATGGGGGAGCTTTAAAAAACATTGGTGTCTGAGGCCTGGTCTGAAGCAAAGCTTTGTGTCCAGACCCAAGGTAAGGGAAGGGAGATCCAGAAGTATGGAGGTAGGAAGACCCAGAACTATCAAGAAATCCCCCAATTCAGGTGACTGTGGTGAGGCCAAGGCACGCACTGATAGATCAGCCTTGCAGTGTCTAACTCACCTTCTCAGTAGAGAGACATGGGAAGAATAGGTCTGGTTACCAAGATGCCAGCCCCTCGCCCTTGAGAAGCAGAAGGGGGTGGCCAGCAGATGCCTAAAGATGTGAAGTTGATGAGAGTGAACATATGTTCATAGTCACCCTCTGAACCCCTTGATAGTTCACTATGACCATGGGAGCTGAGCCTTTTAACAAGCTCCCAGGAGATCCACTGAGGCTGCTGTGGTGGTGGCTGCGGCTGCTGCTATTACAGGTCTGGGGCTGTTCAGAAATTTACCAGTCCATAATGAATGAATTTTAAGAGAGGCTTTATTAGCTACTGGCCAGGACCACACCTGAGACTCAAGATTCTCAAAGTGTGTCCCCAGCTTTGTTAGTCTGGGGTTTATAAAGGCAAAAACCACAGGGTTACAGTTTTGGGGTCGAGTTAGCACTCATCCTGCCTACGTGCAGGCAGAACTTAACTATTGTACCAGATGTCTTGCAGATGCCTCAGTTAGCTTGAGCAAGCAAGCATTTTCATACAGAAGCAGAACTGGCAGTTAGCCTTGTGACCCGTTATCTTATAAGAACACTAGAGGCAGTTAAACACTTTCATAAGACTAGGCAGTTTTCAGACTAGCCCAAGTATTCCAAGAAGCCATCCATCCTGGGCAAGTTAGCTGACAGGCTATGGTTTGCAAAAAGCTTACAAGCTAGAGCAATTGCACAGCAGTTTCTGAATTTTAAACACAATGTTAATCATCACATTCTCCCTTGGGGGTGTGTCTTGGGTCAAATTCATATTGGGATCTAATACCCATTAGTACAGTAGCACCCAAGTGTGAATTTATGTATCTGGTAAAGGCATTGATGTTGCAGGGGTCAAACATAATCAGCAAGAGCAGGAGGGCTGACAGCCCTATGACCACTGCCAGCAGAGAAACCAGAGCATGAGAACGGGAACCATTTAGGGCCTTCTCCCTTTCTGTGAGGTTTTTCTGGAGCACAACCAAATTATCTCTAAAGGTTCCCGGATGGTTTGCATAGTAACAACAATTCTTCCCTAAAATCAGACATATAACCTCCTCACTCTGCACAGAGCAAGTGCATGCTGTAGACCCACCTCAGCTAATGAAGCCACCTGTTTTTCTAGCTTGGCAATAGATTTTTTTTCTAAGATGGATAGATCTTGGGTTATTTGACATCTGTGTTTTTTTTTTAAGTTAATGTCATTCATTGCTGTTCCTATGGCACCAGGAGCAGCATCTGTTAAGGCTAAACCTAAGCTTATTGTGAGGTGTGGGGAGGGAGATTGCACATTGTTGCTGTTTGTTTGTTTGTTTGTTTCCTGCCCTGGGAGACTGGAAGAGTCTGTGAACATAAATACTCTCTCCCAGATGGACCATCCTAAATATACATTCAGGGAAACTGAATTTCAGGGCTTGATGTGTATACCAGACAGGCAAGCATGCATGGGTGTACTCCATCAGTACAGAAAGGCCAAACTGTTTGTGCTGGGTGATGAAGGAAGGAATGAGCACCTGCCAGTGTGATGCCAGAAGCTGAGAAATATTTACAGTAAATCTGTGTTTATTCTTAAAGGGGTATTTGGATATATTACAGCTCTTTGAAGAAAAACGGGTCCCCTCACCTTGAATTCTGGGTTAAGATATCTGATGTCCTGGGCTGGAGAGATGGTTCAGTGGTTAAGAGAGATGGCTTCTCTTCCAGAGTCTTGAGTTTAATTCCCAGCAACCACATATAGATGGTAGCTCACAACCATCTATAGTGGGATCTTATACTCTCTTCTGGCATAATGATGTACATGCAGATAAAGTGCTCATATACATAAAAATAAATTTATAAAAAAGAAATTTGATGGTCAAGTGGGAAGACCCCCATTGACAGTTGGCAAAGGGAGTGTGGGGGATTTTGAAGGATACAGAACCAGCAATCCAGTATAACATTTGGGTTAGTAACATTCATGAACAAATATATGGTATTAACATGGTCAGTAGGGGTTCAAAGGAGGCTAGAGGAGTAGGGTTAGTGGGAAGCGGGGGTATAAAGTGGTGTCAGTTGGTGAGCCCCATCAGCAGGGCCAGGGCAGATATAGTAGCTGGTTTGGTTATAGCATTCAAATTAAGGAATTTTGAGGTTTGAACTTGGCTAAAGCTCTAAAGATGAGTATCTTAGTCTTCCCATCATAGGCTGTATCCTTCTCATTATGTCTATAGACAAAACCCACGACCCCTGTTCTCCATCTATCATTCCAAGGGTCAGGGATTGAGTAGGTGACCTTAGTATGCCAATCAACTGAGTTGAGCCTGGATGGATTTTCTCCTCCCCATCTGGGCCAAGTACTATGATATTTGCAGCCCCAGTGTGGACATCCTCCATAATTTGGGTCCTGACAGTCTGAGCGAGTTTGCTCATATACAAAACAGACATATATAGGAGAGGACATAGCATTGTAAAAGTCATTTATGCATTTCCCTTGACAGGTGTCCCTTATATCAAAAGTAAGGCTTATAGTATTTGCACATCCTGTGATGGGACAGAAGGTGGATGCTATGGTCTTGTTGAGATTTTCTAAGGCAATTACATGGAACTTCCATGCCCTGGGGGTTGGTTTGGTTGGTATAGGAGCCTTTGGAGGTGGGCGTTTCCAATTTGGGTTCCAGGAAAGAGCAGAAGGGAATGTACCCAGACAAAACAATATCATTAAGTAAAAACCCATGTCACTGTTATCTTTAGTGGATCTTCACAGGCCTTGATGACAGTCCACTTTTCTTTAGCTAGGTCGTCGTTCCCAGTGGTACACTTGACCTGAGAATAATGTTTCCAGGTGTGGGTGCTGAACGTTATCTACCTTGACAGCAGTGGAAGTGATCAGGATGAGGAGGTACGATCCCAGTGGGGTCCCAGTGCCTCAGCTCAGTGTCGCTTGATCCACACCTTATTTCCTGGCTGGAAGGGGTGTAGATGAGGTGGTAGCTTTGGAAAGCTGCCTTAGACGAGGAAGCCACAGTGTTCCGAGTCAGCTGCAGAGCCTGTACTGATTGAAGCAGTTGATGGTTAGTAATTTTGGTTGCCAGTTCCATGTCAGGAAGGGCCTCCCAAAGAGAACTTCAAATGGAGTTAAATCTTTTACACAAGAGTACACTGAGCCCTAAGAAGGGCAAAGGGAAGGAACTTCACCAATATTTCACCAGTCTCCAAAGTTAAGTCAAGTTCTGATTTGTTCTCCTCTAGTTGTCCTGAACTTTATAGATGGTGCACACAATGTAATTTCCAATTGATCCTAGGACAGCAGAAATGCTCTCAGTAACCATAAATGTAAAGGTAAATCCATTATCTGACCTATGAACAACAGCAGTCCAAACCTAGGTATTATCTCATCCTTTTCAAAATGTATTTCTGCCCTTAGTTTGTGGAGCAGGTCACATCCCAACAGAGGGCACAAACACTCAGGCATGGCTAGGAAAGAGTGGGTCACAGCCCCCTTTCCCAGGCCCACAGTTCTTTGGTGGTCTGAGAACAGGTAGCTCCTTGTATCACAGTTGGTTTCTTACTTATTGGCCCGCTTGCCTGCTTGGAAACCAAGTAGTGGCTCCCATAGCCACAAGGAAATTGATTGGAATCCCCCAGCATACACTTTCAGAGTAATCCTGAACTCTGGGGAGGGGTGGCTGAACTCTCAGTCTATCTAGTTGGAGCATAAATGCAGAGCTTTGCTTTCAGTTTGGACATTCGTTTCCCCAGTGATTGGTTTCTTTGCAGTAAGAGCATTCATTCCTTTTGGGGCACTGTCTTTCCAATGCTGGGAAGCTCTCCCAGCATCCACTTTCCTTGGCTTTTGTCCTTTTTTCATAAATCCTGGGTGCCCTGTTCCCTAGTAACGGCCACCATAATCTTAGCCACTTTCTTAGCCTACCTGTCCTCCAGGGTGTCCCTATTGCTTTCCCTGGAGGCAATCTCAGCTAGCTCTGACAATATCTTTCCTTCTAAGCCCTCTATTTTCTGAATCTTTCTCCTAAGGTCTGGTGCCAGTTGAGAAACAAAAGCTTTATTGAAAACCCTCTGGTTTTCTGGGGCCTCCTGGTCAATTGATAAACTTCTAGGAGGTACTTCAGAGAAGCAGACGGCAAATCATCTGAACCCTGAGTTATCTGATCTACCTTAGACAAATTTGTGGGGCACTTAGCTGCACCCCCAGTGGAGTCTAGAGAAAGAGGTGAAGAAACTCCCTATCTTTGTGGGAATTCAGATCCCAATCTGGTTGTCAAGAAAGAAAAGCTTAATCAGCTGTCACCAAATCAGTAATCGATCTCCCATCCATCATTTCCCAAGACTTGCTTTTGACCTTTTCATCTCATCTGAATCCCTCTCCTTTGTGGTGAAGAGGGTTTGAAGTAGCTACTGACAGTCTACCCAAGTCAGTCTGTTGGTGTGTGTGAAACACCATTTCTAGCGAAGAGATTAAGCTTTGGTTTTTTTGTTTGTTTGCTTTTCTTTTTTTTCTGAGAAAAAAGAGATTTTAAACATTCCAATAATGCAGATCACTAGTAGAGAAGAGAGCACAGACTGCAACTGACTGATGGCCCCTCCTGTCTTCCTCATTTTGCATGGCTCCCCACATCAGGGTTTCTCTGAAGAGGAGGATAGCTAGAGGTAGAGATGGGGGGCATGTGTCAGGGAGCCACAGGATGTGTCCTGAAAATGGGAACCCTATCACAACCTCAGTGAGAGTAGGCAGAGATGAGGGGCCTGAGAGAAAGTCAGAGGGGGACTGGAGGTCAAAGTCAGAGACAGCGAATAATAGGGAGATGGGTTGGTAAGAGGACACACTCCAGGTGTGAGTAGAACTGACCACAGATTCCCCTCCCTGGCTAATGGCCCGGGGACATAGAGTGGGGGCACATTGTCTTCTTGTGGGGCCAGTGGGGCCGGAGGCTGAAATTTGCCTCTTGGTCTTATTGATTTCTTCTGAAACAAAAATAGTGGCATTAGGAGAAGGATTTGACTGGTACTTCCTCAACCAGGATGGAGATTCCTTTACTAGGAACCTGAAGGCAAGAATGTAGGGGAGCTGGCTGGGTGTCCTGGTTTACTAAAGACCACATGTCGCACTCTGTAAATAAGAGAAAATTTGAAGGAGCCTTCACCTAGCCAGTCCCCCTGAAATGAAGACCAATCAAGGGAGCAAAACGCAGTTAGTTTTTCTATAGAGCCTTTTTCTCTGGACCCCTTGGCTTTCTCTGGAAGTCCTTAAAATGAGACTTCATCAGATCTAGGGGGGTTTCTGGGTAGAAGTTTTTACTGCCCCATCTTTTCAATTTTATCAAGAATGAGAAATTACCCAAAAAAGCAACCCATACAACATAAAACAGACAGTGTTCTCCAACTCAGTGCCCAACTCCTGCTTCTGGGAAGCCTTCCACTACCTCCAGAACCAAACAAGTTTGCATGCTACAAACACAAGTTTACCTCTGGGAGGGCTTCAGATGCCTTTTTTCCACAATCCAGATGTTGAGAACCTGTCCGTGGCCCTCTCCAAATGCTGGGCTTAACCAAATTTCTCAGCTCCCAGTCCAACAGAGACCCTCAAGTTCTCAAGGCTCCTCGGTGAGATCTGGGTGTTGAGGTCTGTTGACTCCCTCCAATGCTGGACCTGTGCAAACTCTCGGTGTCCGTACAGCAGAAGCCCCAGGGTTGAAGGTTGGCCAAAAAAGGGTGAACCAGGCTAAACACCTGGAGCTCAGTGGGACCTCCAGATGCTATGGGTCTGGGGTCGTTCAGAGACTCGCCAAACTGATAATGGATGAATTTCAAGAGAGGCTTTATTAGCTACTGGCCAGGACCACACCTGAGACTCAAGATTCTCAAAGTGTGTCCCCAGCTATTGCTAGTCTGGGTTTATAAAGGCAAAAACCACAGGGTTACAGTTTTGGGGTCGAGTTAGCACTCATCCTGCCTACGTGCAGGCAGAGCTTAACTATTGTACCAGATGTCTTGCAGATGCCTCAGTTAGCTTGAGCAAGCAAGCATTTTCATACAGAAGCAGAACTGGCAGTTAGCCTTGTGACCAGTTATCTTATAAGAACACTAGAGGCAGTTAAACACTTTCACAAGACTAGGCAGCTTTCAGACTAGCCCAAGTATTCCAAGAAGCCATCCATCCTGGGCAAGTTAGCTGACAGGCTATAGTTTATAAAAAGCTTACAAGCTAAGCACAACAGTTTCTTAATTTTAACCATAATGTTGACCATCAGATTGCCAGCACCTCACGTGACAGCCTCATGACCCATTCCTCAAAGTTACTGCTGGAAATAGCAGGATCTACTGCTCTGCTAGAGGGGACTGTGAGACTGGTGTGTGGGAATGCTAAATCTTACCTGTGCTATGAGAATAGCAATGATTAAGAAACCACATGCCACACTCCGCCCCAGTGTGCTGAAGAAATGACCTACTACAAATAACTCCTCTGTCCCCGTGACTTGGATAAGATTCCAGTTGTCCTTTTATTATCCAGACAAGGCCAAAAGGCCTGCCAAGTTCCCATTTTTAGCCTCATAAATGATTTACTAACCTAGGCATGGTGCCTCACACCTGGGATCCCTGTACTTCAGAGTCTGAGGTAGGAGGATTATGAATTCAAGTTTACCCTGGGCAAAACCATTAGCAAGACCATTTAAAAGAAAAAGAGTCAAAAGAAATGATTTCTTGGGCTGTTTGTCTCTTCTGATCATTCAGAACACAACTCTTGTTAGGCCAGACTTCATTTCAGACTCTTGCCTCCCCAGCCGGTCTCTGAAATTTGGTCTACCTTCAATAGGAGAGACACACCTCCTCCCGAAGAAAGGGTACCCTAAGATGCAGCATCCTCGGACACTCACAGGTCATGCTGATGAGAATGGAAGGGAGGAACTGGTTAGGAAGATTTGAGCGTGAGGATTCAGAACATGAACGATCCTAACTCTTGTAATGTCCTTGGCTTTGTCCTGGCTGGAGGCCAAGCAAGTCAGAGGATGGCTCACATTCTTTACTGGCTTCTCATAAGTGAGCTAGCCTGCCTGAAGACTGTATACAAAGTGTGACCCAAACTCCAGGTCAGACACTAAGACCATCTGGACGGCTTGGGAACTTGTCCTCTAAGTTTTTATGATGGGAATGAGTTATATCTATTCCCCATCGCCTGGTTTCACACCATCTCCTAAATGATTTTAGTGTCTTAAGTCTTGAGTTGGGAATGTTATAGTAGTCTTAGAGGCCATTCATGATATCAGGGCTCTACAGAGAGGCCCATTAGAGCAAAGTTATTTTTTTCCCTATAAAAAGAATGTGATCTATCTCTGGATCTCAGTGGAAAACTGACATTCTGATCTGATCCAGAGATTAGAAGGTGACATACATTGTCTTCTCCCTGAAGAGTTAATCCATCTGGGCTTGCCAATCACCTGGTTAGGAGACCAACCCTCAGGAAGTGATTAATTGAAAACCATGTTAAGATGTAATCTCAGAGTTGTTTTGATTTACATTTCCCTGATGATTAAGGATGTTGAGCACTTTCTTAAATGTCTGTTGGCCATTTGAGATTCTTCTGGTGAAGATTCTCTGTTTAACTTTGTGCCTCAGTTTTCAATTGGGTTATTTTGTATTTTAATGTCTACTTTCTTGAGTTCTTTGTAACTTTTGGGGATCAGCCCTCTGTCAGATGTGGGACTGGTGAAGATCTTTTCCCATCCTGTAGACTGTTGTATAGGGGAGACACTTGTGAAGCTTGGACTAGCTGAGGGGCCCCTGGCAGTAGGACCGCAATACAAAGGTGGTACACAAGCCAGCTCATTGGAGCCCATTTCTTAGGGTGGGATGCCATGCTCAGTGGCAATAAGACCATGATACAAATCTGGTACATGAGCTAGCTTGTTAGAACCCACTCCCCATGGTGGGATGCCATACTCAATCTTAACGCATGGGAGAGGCTGGCCCTGCTCCTGCTCCATCCTACCTATTATGTCAGACTATAGTGAGTCCTCATGAGAGCCCTTAAACATGAGGAGGCGTGGACTGGGCATGGGCTGAGGGGGGAGGTTGAAGGAACCAGATCCTGACCTGGCCCCCTGCTTTAGCAGCTATGACAGGCTGCAAAAAAGACCCAGCAAGAGCAAGAGGTAGACCTCTGACTCAGCAACATGTGCTGAGCTTCCTGACCTTGCCCTCCTACCTCCTAGTCACTAGGAGGTCAGATATCCTCCATGTGGCAAGGAACCAATCAGAAGTTAGCTGGTGGGCTCTGGATGTACTTTCGGACTCTAGTTATGTTTTAAGGTAAAAGTGGCATACAGAGCATAGCAACCGCCCTAGGATTATAGGCCATAGCAACCAATTAACCAATCAACACAGGACAGGTTGCCCAAGCCCAGAAGTACACCAATCCTGAGACTACTGCAGACCCCAAAACTCCCCTTGCTCTACCCCAATAAATTCCCAGCCCCTGTGTCTCTCTGGGTCTTTCTCTCTCCAACCGCTATGTCAGACGGATGGAGGAACCGAGTTAATACAGTTAATGCGTTAATAAAAGACCCTTCGCTTTTTCATAGGATTGGGTCTCTTGGGGATTTGGGGAATCTGAATATGGGCACAACAAGGTGAGGGGAGGTGGGAGGGAGACCTGCGGTTGGAATGTAAAAAGCAATTTTAAAAAAGAAAAAGCAAAAGGAAGCCATGTTAAGGACAGGATGGGTACTTATCCCTCCAATGAGATAATGCCCTTCCCTTTCCCTCGGCCTGCACACAGACACTCCCAGAGCTTCCCCAGCTCGCTCAGCCTGAGAGTCTACACTTACCCTTTCTCTCTTTTCTTTCAGATCCTGGCGGAAGCCTGGGCATGCTTTTCTAAATGCCGGGGCCTTCCTCGGCCTGTTTCTCAAAGCCTCCCTCCCCTTTCTGCCTCTAGCTGCTCCTCCACCGCTAACTTTACTAAACCTGCTTCCTATCACACTCCCCTTGACAAATGCTGAGATCTATGGCTTGCTTGCGCTATTTTTCTCTTAATCACTAATAAAACTGTCCACAGGTTTCCTTCCAAGTCTGTGTCTAAATTCTATTATTAATGAAATTAAGAGCCCAAGAGGAATACCCCTCAACAACATCCTTCCTGCCACCCTCTCCTAGAACTGGTTCGATCCTCCCTATAAAAAACAAAACCCTTTTGCCTCATCTTTGAATTGTCCTCTGACCTCAATCCTGACATCTCTTTAGTGATGCTCTCAAATAAAGCATCTTTTCCTTGTCAGGATTTGCACTTTTTTGCCCAGGAGAGAAAGAGCTGTGAGGGAGTGACAATGTGGAAAGGCTCCTTTGAGGGCAGCACTGGAGGCTGATTCTGGGGGAGGAGATGGTCCAGAGAGTGAAGAGTGTGATGGGATCTGCCCAGAGCTGGCAGGAAGAAGCTCCTGCAAAGTGCGCCTGGTGAGAGCCAGTGATCCCAGCCTCTGCTGGTGTACCCACCCAATGTTGGCCAGATACTAAGGATGGCAGCCTTCCTTGAGCCTGTGTCACCTGCCACCTCTGCAGACTCCTGTAACAACACACCCCCTTCCTCCTGCACCCACAACTTCTTCCTATAACTGAGCTCTGTCTCCAAAAGCAAAATTCCCCACCATCTTAAAACAATGCAATCCATGACCTCAAGTCCCAGGGGTTGCCCATCCCTTACAGACACACATGAGAGGGGGGGGGTTTAAGAGTGAGAGAGAGATTTAAGAGTGCCCTGTACCACCTTGCCTGCCAGCTAACATGCCCCGCCACGCCCCCTCATGTTATTGCGCTTGAACACCCTCTTCTGCAAGCTTCCTGTATGGTGTTTTAGGCCACCACAGTGTGTGTTCCTCTTCCTCTCTGGTTTCTCTTTCTTTGGTTTTCCCCTTTCCTGCCTTGTACTCCTATGGTCCTCTCTCTCTCTCTCCTTTCTCATCGCATTCTGACAATGCTGGACATGAATTCCCAGCCCAGCTACAACATAAAAGCATCCCAAGCGTGAGTATGAAAGAGAATGTCACCGGTAGCCATATGGACTGGATCGTCACTGCCACCCTTCATGCTCTCACTGGGGAATAGAAAGGAGAAGAAGAAGGGAAGGATTCTCTTTTAGTGTTCCTCAGAGGTCATAACATGTCTCATGAGCCCCAAAGGGGTCTGCTGGTCCTCAACCCCTGTATAGGATCTCAGCCCCTTCTAAAGGAGAAGTGGATATCAGCTTCCTAAGGTTTCTTTGCCTGGGACCCAAGCAGCCTGCCCTCTGTTCTACAACATAATCTGTTGCTAATCTCTAGCTAGGACACTGGGTAAATCAGTTTTTAAATCCTGGCCCCCTGGGCTCATGGCATTTGAGATATATAAATATGTTGCCATGGTGACACAGTGACAGATTAATTACCAGATCCTTCTGGAGCAAAGCTGCTTTCACAATGTGGAACCCTGGGATGGGGTGGGTGTGGGTGATCCCCACACCACCCAGAACACAGTTGGGGCCATTGAACCACTGAATGGGGGTTGAGAGAGGCAAAGCAGAATCCACCACCTTTATCTTAAGTCAAAATTC